CACAATAGTAACTGGCTAACTGGCTTATTATGAGAATCAAATGGGCAATATATATGAAGAACTTAGAATAGTATGTGGCATACAGTCAACATTCAAAAATGTTATTTAGGGGCTAGAGATTTAGCTCAGCAGTACAAGTGCCTGCTTGGCAAGTGCAAGATTGTGAGTTTGATTCCTGATACCCTCCTCCCCCCAAATCAGTCCAAAAATGTTATTTATTTTCAAAATAATCGTTATTCAACTGTCTACCTTTAGCTGGGGACCATGTTTATTTAATTATATTTCTTGTGTATAGCACAGTGTTGACACTGTGGGCCCTTTGTAAAAGTATACATATGAATAGTAGATCTCCCATATACAGTACTGATTTTATGACAGTGAACAAGACACTTGTATTCTGTAAGTCTTAGTTCATCTCTTAAATGGGAATTATAACCATTGCCATATAAGGCTGTTGTGAAAATTAAGTAATATGAAATGCCAGGCAATGAGTAAATGTCATTTCCTTCCATACCTGCTAGCTGCATGACATGTGGGGCCCAGGAATCTGCTAGTTACTGTGCTACCCATGTGGTGGGCTGTGAACCCAGAAATACTTATGAAGTGATGTTTTCTTGGATTTTTGGCCTAGGAAAGAAAAAGGAAACAGTACTTTGGGATTACTGTTAGCGTTTCTAGCCTTTTTTCTATCTGCCTGTCCTGTTTCTTCCTTGGAGTCTTAAGTTCCTAAAATAGCCAGAATATTTCTTGGCTTCTTAGTTTTTCAGCTGTCTTAAGCAACCAGAAGCAGTTTTATTTTGGCCCTTTAACGCTGTTTGGCCCTTGTCATCCTTCACTAGCTGTTAGCATATCCTGCTTATATTCAGTTTCCTGACCTGCTATACTTTTTCTAGGGCTAAAATGGCACCCACATCATTTTAGGCAAATCACTTTACCTGGTTCTTCCACCTCAGTGGAAAGCATTCTAACTTGTGAGATTGAAGACTTGAGTTCCAGTGCTGAGTCTATCACCGTCTGTTTGTGACCATGGACAGAGGTCTTGCCCTATCTGTTTCTCAGGCTTTTCATCATTAAAATGAAGGATTTGAATCAAGTAAGTGGTTTCTAAGAATCCTTAAATTTTGTGTTTGAGTTTGGACAAATTACGTCTTTTAAGGATGGTCTTAGTTTCTTCATTGTTAAACAAGTAGGTTGGTTGGTCTGAACAATTTATAAAGCCACATCTAGGACTGAATATTTTCTCATTTCTTTTTCTTTTTTCTGTCTTGTATGGCTTTTTGGAGCATTTCCATGACAGTTAACAGCTGCAGGCAGGAAACCTTTGAACATTTCTAACTTGGCAAAAGTTGCTGTTCCCGCTGAACCTTGTTCCAGCCCGTTTCCTGTGTTTACAGAGTTTGGGTTTTGCACTGAGTGACAGACCTGACAGGTCATACTCTAGTCTCTAGTTCTTTCTCCATAGCCTGGTGGCAGTGTACACAAAAATGAGCACCAATTTGCAAATCTGGAGGCAGGGTTGTCTTTTTTTTTTTTTGGTACTTGGACTCAAACTCAGGACCTTGTGCTTGCCAGGCAGGCACTGTGCCACTGAGTTATTTCCCTGGCCCAGGGTTGCAATTTTTACACAGCAGTGTGACCTTAGGTAAGTGGCTCTCTTTTCTTTTTCATCTGAAAAGCCAGAGTGTTTAACTAGTAAGTCTTAATTCTGATAGTAAGGGATACACATTTTTGCATCCCTTTTATTTCCCCCCTGAAGACCCTTTTCTTTAGTCTAAGTTTCTTCTATATACTCCATTGAAGCATTTCAGGGGAACTTAGCTTTTTTTTTTTTTTTTTTTTTTTTTGGGTGAGAGGACAGTGTCTCATGATGTAGTTCAGGCTGACCTTGAATTCACCGTGTAGCCAAAGCTGATCTTAAAACTCATAGTGATTCTTTTGCATCAGCCTCTTGACTGCTGGGATTACATACAGGCCTGCATCATCACTACACCTGGGTGCACTTATGTGGGACAAAATAAAGCAAAAAACAAAACAAAACCCAAACCAAAAAAAAAAAAAAAAAAAAAACAAACACAAACCAAAAACCCCCCAATCAACAACTTTCTCAGGCCTCGACTGGCAGCAAAGAAGAGTTGAACTGCCCAAAAAATAGGTGTGTAATTGGTAATCAGATATGCATGGTAACCTTCTTATCAGGACTGAGGAGACAGTATCTAACTCTGCTTTCAAATTCTATGTGACTTGGGCACATAATAGCATATTAAGCCTCAGTTTCCTCATATAGCAGATAATAAAATTATAAACTTCACAAAGTTGTTAAGGAGATAATATGCAGAAGTGCTCAATATAATTATTGATATGTTCATTGTTGTTTTCTTCCTTATTTATAATGTACTCAATACTGTTTTTTGGTTTTTTTTTTTTTTTTTTTTTTTGTCTTTTTCCTTTTTATCGGTACCGGGGATCGAACTCACGACTGCCTGCTTTGGCAGGCGCTTATGCCGCAGAGCTAAATCCCCAACCCCCTCAATACTGTTTTTATGGAAAAAGTAAAAAGATACTCAAGTTTCATTCCTTAGGAGATGTTGGGGACAGAATTCAGTTATGGTTGGAAAAACCTCAGGATGTGACCTGGGATGGCCTTATTCATGTGTACAGGTACTCTCTAGGCAGGTTTTATCAAGGACTTTATTTATTCTTTTTTTTTTTTTTTTCTTTAAGATTTTTTGAGACAGGCTTTTGCACTAATTCAGGCTGGCCTTAAACTCACTATGCAGCCCAGGCTGGTCTAGAACTCACAGTGATCCTCCTGCCTGAGCCTCCCAAGCGCTGGGATTATAGACATGTGCCACCATGCCCAGCTTTTGTTTTATTTTGAAGAGAAAAAAAAACTCTTGAGAGAAGGAGATAACCTAACATTTATTACAAACTAACTAGGTTTACTTTATTTTTCCCTCAAGGGGCAGCAATGGTACATACAAAAACCCCTCAACCAACAAAATGTCATCTTGTTGTGTGTTGTCATCCTCAAATCATTCACCCAGAACATAAGACATCTGAGTTCAATTATCCAAACAATACCAGCACAAATCTTTCTCTTAAGTGAACTCAGAGGAATCAGTAGCATAACTATCTTAACTAGTTTTATCAGCCCTTTTATCAATGGGCTATGTAGTTTGATGGTATAGTCTTACTTTTGCTGTTGTGGTTGATGAGACTTGATCTCCCTGTGTCGTTCAGGCTGACCTTAAACTCAAGATGATCATCCTGCATCACCCACCTGAGTGCTGGGATTACAGGTGTGTGCCACCATACCCTGCTGCTTGCATAATCTTAAGTATTTAGAAAGTTACATTATTTTGCTACATTTTACCTGGATGAAGAAACAGTGCTTCCAAAAGGTTAAGCAACTGTTTCAACTTAATGTTAATAAGTTATAATGTCAGGTTAAAGAGCCCTACATAATAATCTAGTATGACTTGAGCCATTTTAGATAATATGTTTAATTTGGCAATTCTCAGTTGTGCTTATTCATCCAAATTCTCAGTCTGTAATTGCCAGGTTCTTTTTATGCTTATCTCCCAAAATGTTTATCTTAGTTCCTAGCTCCAACTGGTACTTGACTCCTGTTCTTACCAACAGTTCTTGAGTCTCCCAAGTTTTACTATTGATTTAGATTCTACTTCCCTGCCCCAATCATAGAACCCTAATTCTTTTCTGAAATATTTGTCAATGGTCTTCTTTATGTCAGACTAGGGATGGATGTAGCTACTAAGTCATATTTTGATCTTTTAGTGTAGTAATTAGATGGACAACGACAATAATTAGTAATAATTGAATATTTAGTATGTGCCACAGTGTCTTTGAAGTACTTTTATATGTGTTAAGTCACTTAATTCTCACAACCTATGAGGGAGGTAACTTTTTTTTTTTTTTGCCTTATTTTAAAGATAGGAGTATAAAGTTTTGATCTGGACTGTGATAAAGAAAAGTACAGGAACTAAGAGCACAGAGAGGGGACCCTGATCAAACCCTAGGAGTCAGCATGGAGAAAGTACTTGGAGGAATTGGAAAATATCTGAAGCAGTTTTGCACAGTGGCAATATCATAGCCACTGAAATATTTTCACGACATGAATATTGCTAACTGAAAAAAAAGGAAGGAAGGAAAGGAAAAAAAGAGAAAGAGAGAGAGAAAGAGCAAGCCTGAGTAGAACCTTGAAATTTGATAGGAATTGGTGAGGTGTAGAATGGGGCAAGGATCTTGTGAGCAAAGGGAACATTTATGTACAAGGCCAAAAAGTGAACCTTGCAGATTTATGGAACTACAGGTAATTTAGTATGGTGGGAATGTAAAGTATATGTGAATGGTAGGGGACAAGGCTAGATAATTCTGTAAAGACTAAGTCTTGTATGTTTTGCTGCATTATATACATTATATAGGCCAAAGGTTCCCATGCTTAGGGATTTGAAACTGAAAGGGATCCTTAGGGGATATTTCATGATTCCATATTGCTTCCTTAATCATTTCAACCAGTGGATACTAAAATTACAATTGTTATTATATAGAGCTCTTTGAAATGCCTTGCTTAAAAAAGTGAGCTGTCACTATAGGAGGATTTAGGGAGCTTTGTGAATGATTTTTTAAAAAGGTTTTTGTTGAAATAATTATAGATTTATATGCAGATTTTTTTGTTATTGTTGTGTTGTTTTTTGAGACAGGATCTCACTATGTAGTCCAGGCTGGCCTCAAACTCTAGGCAATCCTCCTCCCTCAGCCTCCCAAGTGCTGAAATTATAGGCATGCGTCACCACACATCTACATGTAATTTTGAGAAATAATGTGGAGCCAGGCTTGGTGGCACACTCCTGTAATCCTAGTACTAAGCAGGCTGAGGCAAGAGAATTGCTATGAGCTGGAGGCCAGCCTGGGCTACACAAGTGAGTTCAAGGCCAGCCTGCACTACATAGTGAGACCTTGTCTCGAACCAAAAAATGTGCTTGTTTTGGCATCATATATACTAAAATTGGAATGATACAGAGAAGATTTAGCATGACCCCTGTGTAAAGATGACATGCAAATTCATTGTAGGTATGGCGGTGCATACTTGTGATCCTAGTCCTTGAGAGGCTGAGGCAGGAGGATTGCTTTGAATTTGAGGCCAGCCTGAGCTATAAAGTGAGTTCAAAGCCAGCATAGACTACATATGCAGTTTCCTTCATAGCAATATTTTGAAATAATATCATGACCAAGATATTGACTGATACAATGTGTTGATCTTTTCCAGACTTCCCCAGTTTGTTATGCACCTGTGTGTATGTATGTGTTACATTTTGTTCCAACATCAATAGATTTTTCCTGACCTTTTATAACTATTTCTACCTCCTTTCTGTTTCCCAATCCCTTAAATGCCTCTACCTTCTTTCTGCCTGTTTCCCAATCCCTCTCTGATCTCATTTGTAAAAAAGAAAATTTCTCTGTCCTTTTTATTTTTTATTTTGAGACAGGGTTATGCTAAATTGCCAGGACTGGTCTTGAACCTGTGATCCTTCTGCTTCAGCCTCCTGAGTAGCTTGGATTATAGTTGTGTGCTACTGCACCTGGTTGATTTCTGAAAATTTGTCCTTTCAAAAATGTTATGTAAATGGAACCATAGGATTGCATAATCTTTAGTAATTAGCTTTCTGTTTTTGTTTTTTTGCTCAACATAATTCCCTGGAAAGCCATTCAAGTTGTATCAGTACTTCACTTTGCTTTCATTGCTGAGTAGCCATGTGGATTTTAATCTAGTCACCCATTAGTTGAAAAACATATGGATTGATTCTAGTTTTGGCTATTACAAATGAAGCTGTTATGAACATTTGTATATAGGTTTTTGTGTGAACCTGCAAAGGATTTTATTCAGGAGAGTTGCCTAGCCAGATTTGAATTGTGAAAAATTATACTGAATGCTTGATAGACAATGAGTTTGAAGGAAACTAGAACAGAGTCAGAGAGATTAGTGAAGAAACTGTTGTGCTGACCTGGTCCAGGGATGCTGAGTCTTGAGCTCCGTGCTGTGGACCAGTCTGCTTTGAGGAAGAGGCTTTGCCTTCAGAATCAGGTCAGGCTTGTGGGGATGAGGGAGCAGGGCTGGGGGCTGGGGCTCAGAGGAGGCTTAGGCACACCTCTCTTTGGGCATTCCTTTCTCCTACCATAGCCAAAGAAGGCAGCAGTAATAAAGATCTACTCTTAAGCTCAGCTGCGTAGAATGATCATCATGATGGCCGGTTGTTCAGATGTTCTTGGTTATCATCTCCCAAGAAAAGAAGAGGGACAAGTTATCTATTATTGTTTGAGTGGAAGCTTATGTGGGGGAGAAACATAATAAAGCCGTCTCCTTGTTGTGGTTGCTTTTGGAGCCCAAGAATGTGCTCTGTGTTATGGTAGCCAGCAATAGGCCCTAGCCTAGGAGTTTGAGGCTGTCCTCTTGCTGGATGGAATAAATCCAATATGGACAGTGGAAACTGGAATCCCACTCAGTGGTCCTGGGTGTTTGTATCTTCCAGGCCTTTATTATTTACTTTAGGGGAAGCTGAGATTGAGAGGTTATTAGGAGCCAGTCTTATTTCCAAACTCAGAAGGATGTAATCTTAAGAGAGTTGGCTGATGGGTTGGAATCTCTTCTGGGCACTGTGTAAAGCTCCCTGTATGGGCAAGTCTTTAGTGCCTAACTTAACACTTTAGAAAACTTTTCTTAGCAGAAAGATGTCTTGCATTGTCTGTAATTATTTTTTTGGCCATATCAAATTCTGACAAGTGCTGGCTAGGACACAAGAATGTTTGGGTCAGGCACCAGGTCAGGGAACTTGGGGTGGCGTTTGAAAAATTGTTTGTTGATTTAATTCCCCTGAGACTGTTTCATTTCTTGACAGAGGCAGTTTTAGAATATAAAGATTCATGGCAATTGGGACCCCTAAGAGGGGAAAACAAGTTTTCAAAGTCTTGTACAGAGCTGGGCATAGTAGCACATACCTGTAAACCCAGCACTCAGAAGGTGGAGGCAGAAGGATCATTGTGAGTTCCAGGCCAGCCAAGGCTACTTAGTTCAAGACCAATTTTCACTGCATAGTGAGACCCCGTCTCAAAAAACTAAATGAACAAAAACCCAAAAAACAAAACAAACAAACTAAAAAACCAAACAAAAACCCCCTCAAAGTCTGTATACAGCTTTCAGTTATCTCTGGATCAAGTATCGTGTTGCTCAGTGTTGGGCTATACACGAGGAAACAAATTAATCCTTAGGAGAAGTGTAGAGGAAGGTTGAATTCAAAGATTCACAACTGCCACTTCTGCAACTTAGTGTATTTAACCAATCGAGAGGTGGAGACAGAATGGATCACAGAGGCCAGAGACATGTGTTTTATTTTTTTGATTTTCCATTGGCTAGGTTAGCTATTTCAGTTTTTGGCAAATTGCTGCTTGAAAGTGTGGAGTGTTGGGCCAGGGACTTAGCTCAGCAGTTCAGGTGCTTGCCTGGTAAGCACCAGGTTGTGAGTTTGATACCTGTATCACAAAACAAAACAAAAGAAAAGTGTAGAGTATTGAAATGGATGTTTTAGCATGTGAACACTGAGCTGGGCATCAAATAATTTTAATTCAGTCAAGATGACTATAGAAATAAAAAGGTAAACAGACTGTTTATAACAACACTGTGGCAGACCAAGGAACAATTAAAAAACTCCTGCACAAGAACCCCATATTACTGCGGTCAAGACCTTGTTTGTGGTGAGTAGTAGTTGTAGGATTTAGCCATTTTCTTTTGGAAGAAATCTTCCTTTAACAGGCGCTTTTGCAAGATTGGATATTGAAGCCCTTCTGTACCTTGTTGCAGTCTGGGAAATTTATATTTGTAATCCAATGAAAAAGTTATTGGAATTCCATAAGTTAATTCCAATCTATCACTTCCAGTGCTACATGTGGCACAAAGACACAAATACATATCCAAGATGGTGGGGAGCAAGTGGGGTCCTAAATCCAGCTAGTGTGATGAATAACTGGAACAAAGGCTTTGAGCTAGGGCTGAACCCCCAGGTTTTATTAATTTGTGAAGAGAGGCGTGGCTTAGGGATGAGTGACTATGAGAGTGGCAAGAAGTATGTGAGTGCGGTGAGCTAGGTAGGAGGTCTGAAATCAGATCTGCAATATGCAGAGAGAAAGATATGCAGAAAGAGTAACCTGTGTAACACAATTTTAGGTAGAATCTAATGTTTTGGGGTCAGTGATTCAGCTCTGATGTGTAATTTTTTATGCCCTGAGAAGGCATAGCTTCTTGTATTTTTTTTAAATTTTATTTTAAGGAGAGAAAAAGAATAAAAACAATGATACAAAATTTCAAAACAGTAATAGGAAATTGACATAGTTAATATATTCCATATTATCTTGAGGCTTATCTTGATGTGGAGTGTGACTTTCTGTCCCACCTGGCTCACACATGCTTCCTGGGAGCAATAGGGAGCAATACTGACCTGTTGCCTTGCTTCAAAGACTACACATCAGCACCTTGGCTAGACCCATTTGCGTGGCTTAAAATCAGTTGCTGGGATAAGGACAAAACTTAGCCAGCTGTGCATATATCACTTGAAAGTAGGGCCAGCTTTAGCCAAAAGGGAGACAACTGTTTTAAGGAGAGTCATCTAAGCGGTTCTCCACAATTGGGTAAAACTTTTTATTTTTTAAAGTTATTTTGGGACAAGATTTTGCTGTGTAGTCCAGGCTGATCTTGAACTCACTATGTAGTCCAGATTGGCCTTGAATTTTGTGGCAGTCTTCCTGCTTCAGCCTCCCTAGTGTCAGGATCAGAGGTATGTACTATCACTTGGACTTTCTGGTTTTTTAGAGTAAAATGCAGTATTTCACCTTCTGGGACTGTCTTTGCTTGGATTATTCTCCCTTCTGCTCCTATCACCTTATATAAACTGTGATATCTCCTGGTGCTCTCATCTCCTTCTCTGCCATATTTTGCTTTGTGCCTTTTTGCTATGTTTACTCTTTTACTTTTTTTTTGGTACTGGGGATTGAACTCATGATCTTGCACTTGCCAGGCAGGTGCTTATGCCGCTGAGCTAAACCCCTAGCCTTCTTCTACTACTTTTTGTCAGTAAAGACTATTTAAATTCATTCAGCAAGTTCTTTTGAACATTCATTTGTTTATTTGGCAAATAGAGACTATGCTAGTTGCTAGGTGTTGGCTAGAGGTAGGAATCAGCCATTAACAAGTCACAATTCCTGCTACTATAAAGTTTACAGTTTAGCAAAAATAGACGTTATGCAAATTATCATACAAATACTTACAATTGTAAAAAGTAGTGTAAATGAAAAATTTAAGTTACTTTCAAGACTGTATAATGGGGGACTCTGGGAACATGGCGGACAGATAGCAGCAGCTACAGAGGCTCTCTGAAAGACCCAGCTTAGGATTCAGGAATGGTGCGGAGTAAGGAATCATAAGCAAGAGGAGATATGCCCTGCTGACCCAAGAACGAACTGGGCTGAGAGAAACCAACTGGGAACGCAATCCTGGTGCTATAACAGGAACAGAAAAGCCTCAGTGTGGAAGCTGGAGCCCGCGCCATTGGAAGCCGCGATTTGGGTTTCCCGCTGCCGCTGCTGCGTCTACATCAGCTCGGCAGGGAGAGAGACACACGAAAGCTCTGAGAACGGGAATTGGTGAATGGAATTGAAAGCAGGACGGGCGGGGAGCTGTGCATTGACCTGTGGTGAGTGAGAGAAACTGGGACTCTTCCATGGTCTAGGAGACTCCAACAGAGGACATTCTGGTACCAGGCAGACTTGCGGGAACAGGGCGCTGCAGTGACTTCAGTCACTGATCCCCCTCTCAAGTGGGATTGGTGAGCAGTGCCTAGCCTACGTGACGCTGCTGGCTGAGACCCAGTAGGCTAGCACAACCCAGGTCCCAGCGCCTGAAGGTAGATTAACCTGGAGGGGCGGGCCCTGCATAGGGTGCCTAGTCTGCAACTTCCTGGTGTGCTGCGGTGGGCGGGAACACCTAGCCAGCACAATTCAGATTGTGGCCAGCAGGGAAGGAAGCTGGGCCTTCTATATA